TATGCTATTACCCATTTTTATTATATCTGGAGAAGCAGGCACTCTACTCTTCGTAAGATTTTTTTTGCAAATCAAAGTTATATACCAAGCCTATACTTGGTTCATCAATGGGATTTGTAATAAATTCAATATTTTCTGCTGATAACTTATTTAGTTCATTTAAAATTTTATCCATTTTTGGACGTCCATCTGGATCAGAAGTCCAGCAATTTTTATAAAGATTAGCGTAATTTGGGGGTGTATTTACAATAATTTTTTCTCTTTCATTTTGCGAAATCGCTATAATTATGGTCTGATCAGAATACCCATTAAATGGAGGAACCCCGCTTGTAAGTTCCCAAAATAATACTCCTAGGCTATAAATATCGGATTTTTGGTCGCGTATAACATTTTTTCCATGCTGGAGAAAGCATTGTGGCTCAATATATGCTGGCACACCACCCATATCTGAGCTTGAAGCGGTAGTATCATTTAATTGTTTTGATATTCCAAAGTCTGTAATTAACACACTACTGCCATTTATCAAAATATTCTTTGAATGCTAAAATTTTTTATATATTAGGTTCATTAATTTATATTTGTGCAGAAATTGGTGCATATTTGAAACTTACTAAATCTCGATGAATGATGTTTTTATCATGCAAATGTTTTAATCCAGTGGTAATATCCTTTGCAATTTTGATAAGTTCAGTCCATGATATTTTATATAAACTTTCATTTTGTTTCTTTCGTAAATATTCACGTAGGTTACCATCAGTAGCAAGTTGCAAAATTAGCATGAAATTACCATTAGGTCCTAAAGTTTATTATATGCTAGTAGAAAGTAAAATTAAAGTTTTATTACTTAGGTATATACAGTGCTCGAAATTATGTGCTCGAAATTAGTGTTCTCATCAAAAATCTGTGCATAGATTATACTTTTTTACTGTTCACTAAAAAAATTTTTTGTGCATAGTAAAAAAGTAATTGTGTTTTCGAGGCTTATGTTAATTATGTTTTAATCTATAAGATTTGTATTCTCGTTTTTTTAAGAGAACACACATCAATTATTTGAGAACACCATAAGCAACTATTCAGTTTTCGAAAGAACAATATTAAAATCTGAAATTTCGAACACTAGTTAGTATATATTTTTGAATTGAATATTTATTACCTCTTGAAACTCCATAGAATTTTACAATATTAGGATGATTAACCATGTAAAGTAGTTTAAGCTACATAAGATTAAAGTTAAGCATTGGAATAAGTTAAAAAATTTTAGTCATTAGTCAGTTGACTAGAAAATTTAGTCGCTGACTGACTAAAAACGGTAATAATTTCTATACTTATAAATATGAATAATGCGAACACAAGTTACCTCACGTTTGAATAGTTTGAACTCTTTATCACTCAAACCCAAGTTATTGTTTATACTTTTTAATGCATACTCTTTTCCTTCGAAAGTTGCCGAGTACACAACCGCAAATCCCCCCTTTCCAATGTATTTAAGATTGTTATATTTCGAGTAATCAAAAATTTTTATTTTGTTTTCCTCGAGATACTTCTCTAGGTGTTCCGAATATTCAATAACTATTTTATTTAAATAAATCTGTATTAATAGTATATTACATAATAAAAACTATAAATTTATTAACATGATAACTTACATGCTTTCTCTGGTATGGCTTCTGATTTTTCAAATTTTTTCTCTGACATGGCTCAGATTTTTTCAAATTAATAATTTATTGCATAAATTTCGTTGAATTTCAATATGTATCCGGAAAGATTGGGAAGATATTCCGTAGTCTAATTTTATTGATAAATCAATTCTCGAAAAAGGATCTGGATTTCCTTATACTGTGAGCAATTCATAATGATTAGCAATAAAGGTTATTTATCAAATAAGTAGCTGCGCAACGCAGCTGCGCGAAACCAGGAACGGGGAGAATACAGTCCTAGATACTATGAAAAGATCTTTATAAGGGTATTTTTAGTAAACACACTTCAGACATGCACATAATTGTAATTCTTTGATTTAGAATTGACAATCTATTTTAGAAAAAGGATGATTGTAATTTATTTTTAATATTAATAAGATTAATGTTAAACCTGTATAAAGAACTAAGAAGAATATTCTTTATAAATGCAAAAATGGGTAATTGAGAGGCTATTTTAAATTTTAAGCTCCTTTTTACGAGATTAAAATCGCACGAATTTGTAATAAAATTTATAATATGAAAACAATTGACCATATTGTCTATTATAAATTTTCATATAATTTAAAGGATCGTACGATATCACCAGCATATGTTTTTCTCTGTTCGGGTAAGTAAATTTATAAAGCTCAATATTTACGTGGACTATTTTAAATTACCATTTACGCTTAATTTTTTTAAATTCCTTTTACGTGACAAAGTTGTACGATTTTTATTACAAAAAATATTCCAATTTAGTAATTTTATTAATCATTTTATGCATTACAATTTTAATCGCATAATATATCGATTGTCGAATTTAATAGTTTTTTTTTTTTTTTACTGCTACATCCCGGAACCAACAAATGTTATGCGTCATTTTTCAATTTACGTCGATTATTAATTGACGCATGTCATTTTTCAATCGGTATGAAATTTACGGATTAAAAAAAAAAAAAAATTGCCGATATTCACTTATTAAATATTTAAATGCTAATCCCCTGCCTTACTATTTGTTATTCATGACCACCTTCATTCTAATTTCCCGTGTGACCGGGAATCTTCCTATGAGAGATTCCCGATCATGTGAAAATTGGAATGTTTAGGTGGTCATGAATAACGTAAGGCAGGGGATTATTCATTTATTTCCTGTGGGGAGTTTAAAATTACAGCAGAGAGTGGGGTGTTACATGCCCTATGATTTACAAACATAGTGCAGCACTATATGATAAACGCACTATGTAAGATTTTTGAAATTTTGTCGATTTTATAAAAAAAATAAACATAGTAATTTTATAATAAAATCGGTGCATTTTTAAAATGTAATTACTTCTGTTCTAATGAAGCAAATTCAATTCTGTAACTTGTAAATGAAACATTGAGAATACAGTTTTAAAACTATGTGAAGACATTTTCGAATTTATTTTATTAATTTCAATAAAATTATAAATTAGTAAAATTTAATAAGAAAATATTCATTATTTATATAGCGACCTACTAAAATTTGCATATTAATATTAAATATTGCAATATAGTTTTAAAACTATATCGTTGAATTATCATTTACAATTTACAGAATCGAATTTTCTTTGCTAGAACAGAAGTAATTACATTTTAAAAATGCACCGATTTTATTATAAAATTACTATGTTAAATTTTTTTTTATTTTTTTTATAAAACTAGTACGTGATTATATTGTGGCTGCGCCGCCAGATATTTATAATTATTTAAAAATTGTATTGGGGATATATTAATAATTGTAAATGTAGTGTATTTATGATGTTAGCTTGAAGTTGGTTTATTAGTGATTTTTTATTGCGTATTTTTTGTCATTGTTGTTGAGATTGTTTTTAGTTTATTATGTATATATGTATTTTTTGTTTATAGAGTGTATACGGGTAATTAAGTTGTGTTAGATTATAGTTAAGTATATTTAAGTATGTATGTGTACGGAGAATTCATTAGTAATCAGGTTACAGTCAGGTACGTACGTACAGAAATTTATAAGTAGTTAGGTACAGTCACTGGCAAAAGTAACGCTCGGTTTTGATCTTCATTTAATATAAAAAATCGGGCGTTACTTTTGCCGGTGACTGTACATATGCATAAAATTAGGTTATGATTGGTATATATGTATAAAGATTTATAAGTAATCAGGTTATAATCAGGTACAAATTTATTAGTAAATTTATAAGCGGTTAATAAGTGATTTATTATTGGACTTAAAGTTTTGATCAAAAAATTACTTTTATTTTCAGTATTATGCTGTGTTACATGAATTATTTCTCAAAATTTTTTTAAGTTAATTATTCACGTTAAGTAATCACTGTATTGGAGATTTTTGCCGATATGTGCTAATCTATGATAATTTGTGGTGGAGTTGATAATAAGGTATATTTATGAATGTTAATTAATTTATATCATAAGGTGTTTTATTGGGTAATTCAATAGTGTTGTTAGAGAATGAGGAAATTGTGGATAATGGTTTTTTTTTTTAGTTTATGGTTTTGTGGTTTATAAATAAAGTATTTAGTGTAATTTATAATGTGTTAGGTAAGTTTGTGAAGAAAATTAGTGTCTGTTTAGAGGTAATGGTTCACGAGTTTTGGATTCTAGTCGGTTATATTCATCGATCATTGATTGATCAGTAATGAACGCATTGCGATCGAGCGTGTGAATTTTAACGTGTTCCCATTTTGTACAACGGCTTAGAGCTACATAGGCTTGTCCAGCTTCGAAAATTTGATCATCTAGATTAAGGCATACATTAGGGAGGGTTAGTCCTTGTGTTTTGTGGACTGTGAGAGCAAAAGCATTTTGTATTGGATATTGTGTACGGCTGGCAGGTGTGCCGTTGAGGTAAAAATGGTGAGTGTATTTGGTGAAAGAGACGTTAATTATGGCACCTTCAACGCAGAAGCTGACATAAATGAGGCCAGATTGTAAATCAAGGTCAGTTATTACACCTATGGTACTATTAGCTATTCGGTGTTTATATTGTGAGTTGTTTAAGAACATGACTCTTGCGCCTGGTTGAATCCTAATAGTGTTAGGTAGGTTAGTTTTTTTGGTAAGTCCATAGTTTCTTGAATTGTTAGAGCATATTTGTCCATCAATTATGTCAACGCAGTTTGAAATTAAGATTTTGTTTTCACAAGCAGGAATCGAGGTGCAGATTGTTCTATTAATTAGTTCTGCAGTTTCACGATAACCAACTACGTAAGTAGTATTAAGGGGGGTATCTACTTGAGATGATAAAGTTGTTTCTTGGAATTTTTGAGTTAACATGTTCTATGTTTGTTCATCAATAATGCCAAATCGGATTTTTTGTAGAAGGGTGTAGAAGCGGATGTCATTATTTTGTCTATGAGAATCTCGGAGAAATAAAGGATAGAAGATTTTCCATATCGGGGATTGGTATACTGGTGGGGCGTTAACAGGTAGTAATTGGGCTAAGTCACCAACTAAAATAATGTTAATGCCACCAAATGGATGATTATTTTTGTGTAAGTGTTCAAAAAGTTCAGAAATATATGTTAATAGTGGGCCTGATACCATAGAGACTTCTTCAATAATAAGGGTGTTGATTAAGCGAAGGCTATTACAGTACTCTAAATCACGAAATATAAGAGTACGAAAGCCTTTTTCATCCGAGATTATTCGTAGAGCAGAATGGATTGTTGTTCCACCAATATTTTGAGCTGCTATTCCCGTAGAAGCTATCAATAAATAGCTACAGCCAATTCTTCGAAAGTATTCTAGTAGTACAAGGATCATAAATGATTTGCCATTACTAGCAGAGCCAGTAATAAAAAAGTACGAGTAATGTGAGGTATCTCGTTTACCTAAATAATTTGTTATTGTCTGATAGCAGAGATATTGGCTTTGGGCTAAGTTGGCTATTATATTTGTAGGTAACGTGCGGGTAGTACTTTGAGAGAATTTAATTGTGATTTAATAATATTGATAATATTATTTGTTAAGATATTTTGTAGAGAGGAGGTAATAGTTTCAATTATCGTGTTATATTGGTTTTGAATATAAGTTGATTGGTTAAACGTAAATTCGGAATTTTGCGTAATTATAGATTGATATATATCGGGAAATTGAGAAAAAAAGTGATCTCGATAGGTTTGATGTTCTCCAAGCATTTCTTGTTCAGATCTGCAGGAGAATTTTAATAGTAATTGTTGATAAAAATAAGGTTCACCATGGTCAGGTCTTAGGTATCGATATCGAGTGAGTATTTTATTTTCACGTTTAATAACGAAGTTTCCTAAACGATCATTATATATTGTTCTTCTAGATCCATTAGGTCTGTTAGATTTGATTTTATAATTTTCAAAATAGGTTTTATAAGTAATATTATCAAATTCATGATTATTTGGACAGGTGAAGTATTTTTCTATTTTGTCAGACCAGTAAGGATAGTCATCATGGGAATCAATCATATATAACGGAAGTATTGCTTTAGTTCTAATGTTTGGAGGATCTGTTGTTAAGAATTGCACCTGAATTAAAGAATTTGTGATGCATTCTCCGAGTAATAAAAACATTACTTCCATTGATTCCATTCGTCGAGCATGGCTATATTCTCGGTAGCACAATTGTTCACGTATGTTGAATAGATGGGTAGGTTCAGGTTTGCTTATATATTTGGTTATATATCTGGAGAGTCCTTTATTAGTAACATATTGGGCGTTCATGTGAGCATTCCATATCATTAAGGTTGGAGCATGGTATGGAACTACCCATTGGTCTTCAGGTGTTAGGCATTGATACGTGTATCTATAGTTGTTAGAGTCATAATAAGTATGTTCAGCAAAAGGGCAGGAGAATTCTTTTTTACATCTGGAATTAGGTGGAGCAGGACCACCGCATTTAGAGTTGCAAGTATGCATTTGTAGGGTAGTAACTTTTTGATATAATTCAGGTTCTAATAGTGAGTTTGGAAGAGTTGATCTAATATTTACATTAATCATTTCAGAAATGTTAGATAATGTCCAGTAAACGCTATGTAGA